TTCTGTGTGTCCGAAGAAGCGCGGGTGACTTCTGCTACCTGGGTAGGCGGAGCTTGATAATCCGGGCATAAGGTCACCTGACCAACGTATACGTTCTACTCCTAAGGCCTCCTTGTAGACCAGGCACTAACTGGGGACGCTGCCCTTGAGAATTCGTTTTGAGACCTTCCAATCTTACCTGTAGAGGTCCACCAACAAAAATGACGCAGCTTATTTGCTTCTTAGTTCTTTTCTTCAGAAGTAATTCCTATGTCTCTTACCTCATAATACTCCTACTTGGATCGCTTTCACTTGCTTCGTGCTCCATCAACACTTGGATAAGGTCTCCCATTGTTTTGACCTAGAAACAGAGTATCAGGAGAAGTAAAGATAAAAAGACTTCTTGAAAGCCATACCTGGACCTCCTTTGGTGCAAAATACTTTACATCTAAGCCAACTTCGAAATGGTCGGCATCCTCTATGACCTCCACAAATTCGTCGTTCTTTTGAAGAGGCCAGTCCCAACTTTTTCTGCGTTCGCCAGCAATATTTGTTGCAGCCATAGCAATTAATGGAGTAACAGACAAAGTTCTACTTAAGATGTGTGACATCTGGATGGCGACTATTTATACCTCTTTGAGTGCGCTGTACTCTGTGCTTGGCTAAATGTTGTGGAAAACAAGTCAGTGTAAAAAGGCGTGAGCGCTCACACGGATTGAGCACATCATAAATTTTTCTACCTATCTTGCGCCTCAAGACCCTCATAAATCTGGGCAGTCATGTGAGAGGAGGCTGCCAGATAAACAAATTGATGGTCCAAAAGGTCAGGCCTACATATTTGCTTAAATGGCAGCCTTTTGTGACTGTTAGATTTTCTGGAGATCCCTGCGCTCCGCAAAAACAAGATACCTATGTCTTAGACAGAAGAGCAGTGAAGAAAATATTATATTATGATTGAAATTCTTTGCTCATGAAAGGGAAGGAGTTCACGAACGCGCCTTTTGTGACACTTTTTAAACTTCCCCGTCTGGCATCAAAGAGTTTTGTCAATAGCTTGAATCTGCATGCACCGAATTCAAATTCGGAATTACGTGACTTAAGTAACTTCATCTTGTTTTGAAAATTCCCGTCGGCAATCTGACGACATATCCAGAATGTCGATGCACGCTCCCCCAGGCTTCCCTTCCTACCTGACCTTTTCGTGCATCTATATGTTTACATATTGCCTTGCCAGTGAGAGAGTACGAAAAGTAATGCTGCAACGTAGAGGTTTCACAAGTTTACCCGAATTATCAAGTAAAGTC